TTCCTCTTCCAGCGCCAGGTACTTCGCCCTGGCCAACATCTCTTGATAGGTCGAGAGAGGATTCCGTCGCAGCTCCTTACGCACATCCCCTTGGGGGAGTGCAGCTTGGAGCATGGCGATCAGGGCTTGGTCGTCCGCCCCTTGGACATCCCTAGCCTCCTTCTCCCACCTATTAATGAACTCCCGGAGCTGTTCCCCCTTCCGGATCTTCACATTGAGCAAATGCGAGAAGGGGAGCTTTTGTCTCCGGCTGGATGCGAAGTGCTCCAAGAACTTGTGGGCCAGGTCGCTCCACTTATCTATCGACCCCTTGGGTAACTTGTGAAACCACTCACAAGCCTGCCCCTCCAGTGTCGCCAGGAAGCACCGACACTTGATTTCTTCTGGATATGCATACATGACCACGTTGGCCCCGAAGCGAGCGAGGTGGTCTTGGGGATCGGTCGTCCCGTTGTACGCCTTGATCTGGGGAGTCTTGAAATTATCTGGGAGAGGGCAGGACATTATCCTTCTGGAGAAGGGCGTTACCTCACTGAAGACCGCCTGGCGATAGGGGTTCTGGGCATCCAGCCGCTTCTCCAGTTGTTCGTACATTTTCCACAGCTCGGTTGCACCCTTATCCCCGACTGTCATCCGTCGCTCCTCAGAACCGACCTTGGAAGTCGCTGTGGACTCCCCTTTCTTCTCCTTGAGCGTGTCTCTCAAGTCGCCTTTTCGGGCTGACCGAGTGTCCTGCAGCCGTTTGAACGCAGAGGTCCGAGGTTTCTTTGACTTGGGGTCTCCCAAACGGTCAAAAGCAGACATCCGCTCGAAGGAGAACGACTCGTCCTCTTCTTCCAGTCTGGAAAGTGCATCTGCCATCATAGCCTTCCCATTAGGCTTGGTCGCCTTCTTCTTCTGGGACCGCCTCACTTTCTTCTTTTTTCCTTGGGAGCCTGCAGGTCCAGCCTTCCCGCCTGTGGGTCCCCCAGCCACATCTCCTACCACGACCTCGCGGTTGGGCGCAAGTGCGGCCAGCACCTCCTTGAATTGTTCGGCCGTGATCCCAACCCTCTGAATGAGGGCCTCAGCCTCCCCGGTGGTGATGGGGGGGTGCCGGCCTCCGGTGGCGCTGTCCTCCCCCTGTTGGGGAACTCTGGTACCTACGTTGGCGTTGCTACGTGTTTGCACCATCGTCGTTGTGGAGGATTTCTTCTGAGTATGATTCTCGAACTCTCAATGAGAGCACCAATTTGATGGACAATAAATCCAACAAATGATCCGGTTCACAAAGCGGATCGTAAGAACAAAATTAAGGACGAGAATTCGAGAATTGGGTGTGTATTACTAGCTTGATTTAGCTTGAGTTCTCCCCTTTCGGGTCCCCTCTATTTATACATGAGCTCTAAACAATTAAGGTAATGCATAACCGATGGAGTCTATCCCGCCAAGGGCGCGATCCCCTTTTCCCGGCTCCGTAACGGCCAATCTGCTCCGTCTCCTTCTCCGGATTGACTCTGCCAGCTGCGCTTGGCCTGAGGTTAACTAGGCACAGCTCCTTGGGCCGGCCCAGCTTGAGTATTTCACAGGTGCTTGACCCGAAGCTGTTTAAATGGTTCATTTGGGCCGTCCTCTGGATATCGGCCCATCAGGGCAAGATTGGATACTAGAGACTGTGTAATTACTATTAATTGTATAATTACCCGGACTGTTTCTGTGTGTTTGATAATCGCAGTAAAGTGCAATTCTAATCAATAACAACAACAACAACCCAGTTAAATCCCACAAGAGTAGGGTCTGGGGAGGGTGTGTGTACGCAGACCTTGCCCCTACTTGAAAGTAGAGAGGCTGTTTCCAAAGAGACCCCGGCTCAACGTCGAAAGTTGCATTGCTTGACTAACTGCTACTTCATTAATTAAAGAAGCGCAGACAGTTTAGAGATCCATTTTGATTTATTCCATCACACCCCAAAGCCAAAAAATGGTGAAATTTTGGCTCCATCGGAGATGATGGAAATGCAATTCTAATCAATAGAGGTTAATTTTGTAATTTGAGAGTCAAACTCTGAAAGCACTCTTTAGTTTTCTGAACTTGTTTAGCTGTTGGGAGATTTGTCAAGTTACTTATCATGTTGTGTATTGTTGGAAAGCACATAATTTGTTGTTAGCAGTAATTCAAATTGCATATGAGTAGTATTTGTAATTGATAATAGAGCCAAAAATACAAGGAACTAAGATTTTAGAGTCATCATTTTGAGTTTTAGTTGCTTTGGATTTAGGCAATCATACTTGGGTTCTTCTGCTTAAAGGTTTTCCAACAATCACATAAGAACTTGTTTAGGATTAATTCACTGCCTAACTATTAATGTGTATAAATTATGCAGAGACGTTGTTGCACGGTATAGCGATTGTATGAAAATCCTTGCACAGAGACTTTTGGGGTTGATCTCCAAGAGTCTAGGCCTGCCATGTTCGTGCATCGAAGATGCAGTCGGGGAATTTCACCAAAACATTACTTTCAGTTACTATCCCCCATGCCCACAGCCGGAGCTTACTCTTGGCTTGCAATCACACTCTGATATGGGTGCCATTACTCTTCTCATCCAAGATGACGTTAGGGGACTTCAAGTTCTTAAGGATGAAAAATGGGTAACTGTGAATCCCCTATCTGATGCTATACTTGTCATCTTGGCTGACCAAATTGAGGTATTTCAACTCACTGTGGGCGACTGATAAACTTTGAAACTTGATTCTTTCTGAACGGTAGAGAACATTGTTAAGAAGAGCTGTCCTAAATTTGCTTCTTGACTCTCATTTTGACTTCACAGATCATAACCAATGGAGAGTACAGAAGCTCTATACACCGCGCCATAACTAATGCTGAGCAACCTCGGTTTTCGATAGCTACATTCCATGATCCTGCAAAGACAAGAAAGGTTTCCCCTGCATTTCATCCGCCTAAATATCGTGAAGTGATGTATGGCAACTATGTATCATCATGGTACACAAAGGGCCCAGAAGGAAAGCGGAATCTTGATGCCCTTATTATTTAATTGGTAAGTTTTTTTCGTTTTGCTTTTGGTACACCCCCTCCACCCTCCTTTTATCTTTCCATTTTCCTATCTCGATAATCTCAATTAATGTTCATCTTTCTCTTAAAGGACTGAATTGTGTGGTACATATTAATGCTTTCATTTTCTTAATGAATTTCGACAACACGAAATCATTTTCTTAAACTCTGCAAAATTGTCAAGTGAGAACCATGGTTGTCAAGTCGTCGCCTAGGCCACGACTAGCCATCCGGGCGGTTTTGCCTCTGCGTTTTGCTCTTCGACTAGCGCCTAGGGAAGACTAGGCGATAAAGCGTGCAAAGCGACGCTTAGTCGCGCGTAGGAGACGCCTAGTCGGTGTAAGAAATTGTCCAATTTGACCTAACCCAATTGACCCGACCCAACAAGACCTGACCCAAATTTCTTTCATTTTTAAAATTTTCGATAAAACACGGCCTCTTCGACGCAATCCATCCAATCGACAGTCAATCCAGGGTCGCGACTCTCCTCCATGGGTAAGATTTCAGTTTTCTTTTGTTTTCTTAATATTTCAGTTTTTTTCTGATTTCAGTTAATATTTCGATTTTTTTCTTATTCTAGTATTTTAGTATTTCAGTTTTTTATTTTCAGTTTAATATTTCATTTTTTTTTCTGATTTCAGTTAATATTTTGATTTTTTTCTTATTCTAGTATTTTAGTATTTCAGTTTTTTATTTTCAGTTTAATATTTCAGTTTCTTTTCTGATTTCAGTTAATATTTTTGTTTTATTTTGGTTTGTTATGTACTCTTTGTTAAGTGACTTTATGTGCTATCTTTAAACATAAGTTTGCTTTGGTTATGGTATTTTGTCATATATATATATATATATATATATATATATATATATTCATGTTGGGTTAATGTAGATATATATAATGTTAAAAATTTCAATACTAATTGTGATTTGTCGACTAGTCTACGACTAATCTACGACTAGTCGCCTAGTCCACTAGTCTCCCCGTCACCGACTCGACTCGCCTTGTCGACTTAACAACCATGGTGAGAACATCAAATATGGATGGAGGGAGTAATTTCTAAAATCTCGGGTGTCTTGGGAGTCGAGTGAAGTCAGTCTTGCTAAACGTTGGATGGAAGGGTAGAACAGTAGGAAGAGAGCACCAGACTTTAGGCTGTGTCTCGGTAGCTTGAATGTAGAAGCGACAAGGTTTTGGAGCTGATGTATATGAATAGGAGAAAAAACGTGAATGTGGTGTGCATTAAGGAGACTAGGTTGAGAGATGAGCAGACCAAAGAGAGTAATAAGTATTGAGTGTATCATTCAAGTTTTTCAATCATGTTGTGTACTCCTTGCATGGTAATGTCTCTAGTACGTAAAAGTTCTAACAGTCTTCCTTTATCTATATGACAAAAACAAAATCTTTAAAACTAGACAGTAGAAATAAAACTGGGAACTAAAATTGGCAATCTTGAAATCTAAGAGTATGTACTTAACATGACATAATTTTTGAGTGCTGACACAAATTGTTTCTAACATAGAATTGATAGAAACTACGTTTATGAGATATGAAACCTAAAAGTATCAAATCGCAGGAGGACTTTCATGTGGCTGGGTAGACTACCATATGTAACGTGGAGCACGAGAAGTCGCATCACAGATGATGAAACTTGTCTGAACTGTGTAAACCATGCCGAAATTGTTCATCTTCTCCTCGTGAAATACCCCAAAAGCTCCCGAAATAGTAAATATCAAAACGAGAAGAATTTTGTTTTCCATCCTCTTAGTACATTTTGCCTTCTCATTTTCTTTTCCCCCACTTTTATTTTCTTTTCCTCTCTAACCAAACAAGAAAAATGTTTTACTACTCATTTTCTTTTCATTTCCCTCTCGAATTCCTTGAACCAAACACAGTGTTAGTGGCACCTGGTGGAAATGATAGATGAAACATCCCCAAAAGGGATAGTTTTTACTTTCTTGGATTCATCCTATACTCCGTAGAATAATAGTTTGATGGGCGGTGTTTGGGGGACCCCAGGAAATGCACACTAAGTGCACATGACCAAGGCATTTCATACACAAGCTGTGTATATCTCTGATTGCCTTAGTGTTAGTGTGCAATTACAGTCTTACGCTATGTTTGGTTTAATAAATTAAAAAAAAAGAAATTAACATGGAAAATAATTTTTCTTGTTTGACTAAAGAGGAAAAAAATAAAAGTAGATGGCAAAGAAAAAGAAAAGGTGAAATATATTAAGAAGATGGAATATTATTTTAGCAAGGAAAATGAGAGAAACTCATTTTTTTCTTTTCTAATTCCTTGAACCAATAATATAGTGTTAGTGTGCATTTCTGGGGGCGGGTCTCCAAAGTATTTTCTTAGTTGGGCAGTTATGCTATATAAGACAGATTAGTAGGGAGAAAAACATGTAAACTTATCTTACTATGTACAAAGCAAATTAAATATTGAATTAAAACCATTAAAATTAAATAGGAGTAATTAAATAATTAAAGTAAATATTGAATTAAAACAATAAATATAAGTTTCCAAATTTTGAAAAAAGAAAATAAATTTTCTTGAGCTTTTCTTTACTGAGTGTTTCTTTGGATTTCTAACTCCTTTTTGCTGCTCTATTTATTTCTTTTAAATTGTTCTCAATGACCTTAATTAATTCAAAGTTTTGACATTCAATAAACGTAACTCCTACTTAGCTTTGAAGTGAAAGAATTGTTTTCGAATTTAAAGTAACAAATTGATTTTTAAAGTGGTTACTCTATTTGGTATATGGTTAGTTTTTAGTTAATGTTTCATGCATCACTTTAGATTGTTATAAGATTGAGAATATGTTTTGAATTCTAATTTCAACCAAAAAAGGAAAAATGTGTTGGGGTATGTATGAATACTGAATAGCAAACCACAACCAAACAAGAACACACACAAAACAGAAATCAAAACGGAAAAAACGGAACACAAGATTTATAGTGGTTCGGTCGGCTGACCTAATCCACTTTGCAACTAGGGTTTTTATTATCCAGGTGCTCACAGAATTACAAGTATAGAGATCCCTATTTATGAAGACTAAACTAGGGTTGAAAACTTAATCCCCAAGTTAGGCCCAAGCCCACATAGAGAATTAGGGCCGGCTATATTAAAAACCTAATTTATTGCCATATGGGTCGAACCAAGACTAGGGCCGGCTGCCCTTCCTGGTCGAGCCTCCACACTCAATTTGCCCAACAATCTCCCACTTGGAGGCTCGAACAACGCCCCTTAGTCTTCATCATGTGTAACTCTTGTAATCCTCATTTTCCACTAGTTGCAGCGGCCTTCTCTTCAGTTATCTGAAGGCCCGTTGAAGCTCCCACTGAGCTTCAACTCATCAGTCACAACCTGTGACTCGTTCTCTTTCTCTGCTAGCTCCGAGTGTGACACATCTATCACTCTCCTGGCTTCTAAGACAAACTGAGAACCTACATTCTCCAAGCAAATTGTTAACAAGAGAAACATTCAACACCGGAATACTAGTTTTCCTAACCCACTATCGGATTGGGACTGAAGCACGACCTGTGCTCCCACTGTCACAAAATTCCCTGACTGGTTGAACCTTCCGAGCTAGTTCATCCTGAATCTGTACTCTTTCTTTGAGTTTCTCCTTTGCAAAGGTAACCTTCTTTAGCACACGAGATTCTTTGAACCGAACCTTTTCTTTTACAAAAACAGGACTTGCTCCTTCTGGAGGTATCTCGACCATATATAACGAGCCCCTTTTCTTGCCACGATCAACAACAAGATTTCCTTTGACCACCTTCCAGTGTCCACCACCAAATTTAACATCAAGACCCGAATCATCCATCTGCCCAATTGAGATAAGCATCCTCTTCAAACTTGGAATGACTCTGACATTTTTCAAAGTCCAAGTGGCTCCAACTGAAGTTTTCAAGTCAATATCCCCATGCCCGTAACATCCAGAATTTCATCGTTACTGTAACGCCCCAAAACCCGGCTTAACATTTTAATTAATTTATAAAATTTAAATTATTACTGAGTCGGTCAATACGAAGATTATAGGAAGATTCGTGGTTATAGGATAATTAACAGGAAGATTATTATTGAGTCAGTCAACTCGTCAAATTTCGAGGTGATTCGTGGTTTCTATACCTTCCGTTAGCATTAATTCATACATTAGAACTTCCTTGGTGTATAATCTTGCGATTTGATTGGGAATTTGTGATTGTTGTGTTGAAATTATGGAATTGGTATTTGGGGGGCTGTTTTCCGTCATCACCTCCGGCGACCATCGGCAACGGCGGCGGCGAGGTGGCCGGAACTGGGCAGCCTCTTGAGTTGGACCAATTGGATCCAATTGGCACCAATTGGGTCGTAACAGGTTCGATTGGGTTCAATTGGGTTATTTGAATTTAATTGGTTACAATTGGGTTGGATTGGACCGTTTGGGGCTAATTGATGGCTGTTCGGGTGGCTGCAAATCACCCAATAGGGCAGTTTGGCCGGGCTTCGGGTTTGGGCAGTCGGGGGCGGCTACCGGCGGGGTGATGGTGTTGTTCCAGCGACGATGGGGACTACTTCGGCGGGGGCAGCGAGCTTGAGGATCGATTCCTTGGGCTCGATTCCGCGCAGGTAAGTTAGATTAATTCTAATTTGGGTTTGTTGATTATGCATGGCGGTAATCGTGGATCCTTGGACCGGATAGGCCGCTACGTGATTTGTTATGAATTTGTGAACTAATGTTAAATTAAATTAATCTTATTGGTCAATATTGTGGATTATGAATAATGTAAGAGAAATAGGTCACTTAGTATAATTAGGCGGACCTGAATTGGATTGACTGATTGAATCAGCAATAGGATATGATTAGGAAATTGGCCATTGCAGGGCGTCGTCGCACCCCGGTGGTCTTGGGTTAAAAACGTACGTACGGAAGTCCGTAACCTGTCTTGTCATCGTAGGAACAAGGGCTTCAACCCGCCCAAAGTGATTCTCCTTTGGGTTTTTGAGCTGGCCCTTTTATAGCATTGCTTGGGGTGCCATGACTCAAAGTAGTTGATGTGGAATAAAATAAGGACATGATGTTCAAATGGAAGGTGTTAATATAAATATGTTTATTTAAGCTTTTTTCTCCGTGATCACATGATGTTGTTGATTGTATGTTAATGTGGCGATATTCGGTGAGTTAATGCTGGCTTAGGTATATTTTCACTCAGCGTTTTGCTGAGCGTATAGTCGTTGTTGTTTGACTGCAAGCAGTTAGGAACACAGAATTTGACGAGCAACACGGAGGGCAGTGAAGTGGTGGTGGCGTGGATGGCTCTTGTTTACTTTAGTAATTATACCACATTATTTTATTTGATTATATGGATTGTTGGACGTTACTTTGATTTTATTATGCTTCCACGACTTTTGGACTTGTTTTATTACTCCGATAAATTTTGGTTTAGTTTTAAACTCTCACGGATGAATTTATAATTTATTCAGTTGGGGTGTTACAGTTACCAAGTCGTACCTTACCAAAGTCCCCAATCTTCAGATTCTTCATCATCTTCATGCTGTGTGTGGCATGAACAGATGTACCAGAATCCATCACCCAGGAATCTATACTACTCTCTACGCTACAAATTAGCACATCATCACTAATGTCTGAGCAGCTTTCTGTAGTATTCACTTCCTTTTTACCATTCGGACACTGACTTCTAAAATGTCCCGTCTGTTTGCAATCCCAACAGACAATTCCTTCCCGATGCTTGGACTGACTCTTGCCTCTACCACGGTTGCTTCCTCTTTCATTCCTTCTTCCTCTGCCTTCAGTACTCAACAGTGCACTCGAAGAATACCCTGAACTTCTGCGTCTGATGTCTTCACCTAGAATCAAGTCCTGAATTCCTTCAAAAGTAAACTTAGTAGTACTAGATGCACTATTAACTGCAGTCATTGTTCCAAACCAACTGTCAGGCAAAGAAGATAAAAGCAGCAACGCCTGAAGTTCATCATCAAACTTAATTCTAACTGATCCTAACCAAGTTATGACTGAATTAAACTGGTTGATGTGAATGGTAACTGAAGCACCCTCCCTCATTCTGGTGTTAACCAACTGTCTGATCAAAAACACCTTGTTTAATGTTGAGGGTTTCTCGTACATATTCGACAAAGCTTTCATTAACCCATGTGTAGTCGTTTCATTGACTATGTTGAAAGCAACACTCTTCGCCAATGACAACCTAACCACTCCCAAAGCTTTCCTGTCTTAAATCGCCCAATCTCTATCACTCATTTTTTCTAGCATTTCTCCCGATAACGTTTGGTATAAGTCTTTCTGATAAAGAAAATCCTCGATTTGCATCTTCCAAAACCCAAAATCACTTCCATCAAACTTTTCAATCTTTATCTTTTCATCTGCCATTGTTTCCATACACGGCTGAAAAACTGATCTGAGATTGAAAAATCCAATAACGAACTAACCTTGGCAGCGGCTATTCGGAACACTAGCAGCGGCGGCTAAACAAAACCCTAGCAGCAGCAGCTGTTCACAACGGAGGCGCAGTTACTATTCACAAGACAGTACAGACCGTATTATGCAGCGAAAACTATGACGGTGGCGGAACTGATCTTCAAACCCTTCAAATCCATAATCTTCGATTTGAACCTGATCTCCACGAACCCGAGGGAAGACTTCAACAATCACGAGCCTAAGGCTCTGATACCAGTTGTTGGGGTATGTATGAATACTGAATAGCAAACCACAACCAAACAAGAACACACACAAAACAGAAATCAAAACGGAGAAAACGGAACACAAGATTTATAGTGGTTCAGTCGGCTGACCTAATCCACTTTGCAACTAGGGTTTTTATTATCTAGGTGCTCACAGAATTACAAGTACAGAGATCCCTATTTATGAAGACTAAACTAGGGTTGAAAACTTAATCCCCAAGTTAGGCCCAAGCCCACATAGAGAATTAGGGCCGGCTATATTAAAAACCTAATTTACTGCCATATGGATCGAACCAAGACTAGGGCCGGCTGCCCTTCCTGGTCGAGCCTTCACACTCAATTCGCCCAACAAAATGTTTGTCAATAACTACTTTGCACGAGGGCGTGCAAAAGTCTAAGTGTGGGAGTATTTGTTCAGTGACAAAATATCATGTTTTATTCTTTCATTTCTTAGTACTTTTAAGATACTTTTAATACATGTTATACCCAAAATATCACATTTTCTCATATTTAGCATTTAAGGCTATTGTTTACGTTTTATACATAAAATGCATGATTCTGAATATATTTATATTTGAAAATTAATTTTGAACGTATTATTTTCCCTGACAGATATGTTTTTTCTAGATATATTTTGAAATACAAAAAGTTGAGGAAGATTATAAAGTTTGATTTATGAAGCACAATATGAAGAAGAATGAAGATTGGGCCAAGTTCACACATGACCCAAATTAAACCCATTATCTAATCAAATAAAAGGAAGAAACAAAAGGAAAAGAGATAAGAAAGAAGATTGGAACAGGAGAAAAAAGAGAAGTGGCGCAAGAAACGGAAGGGAAGAAACTGATCTGAGGAATCCTTCTCTATTTGCAATGCCAAGTCTTCACCTTCAATTCAATCTCTTCTAATTTAATTATAAAAGAAAACTCGGGCCACAAAACAAGGGGGGCATATACGGAGACGGATAGGAAACAGAGGGGAAGAACCATTTGGTTGGTGGACTTCTTCTTCAGCCTAACCCTGAGTTTAATTACCAGTTTAGTCTGAGGCTTAAGACATGATAAATTAAGGAATCATATTTGTTCAATCTATTTTCTATTAAAAACTATAACTATTTTCAAAATGGTTTAAGTTAATTATTATTGTCTACATTTTTATAAAGTTTAAATGTGTGTTTGTTTGTGTTTGTTTCCCCCCTGAGTGTTACTTCTGAGTTCGAGCTTGCTGTTGTGGTTCCATCTCTTATCTGTTATCCTTATCTTTATTTCATTTGCATTTTTATATTTTTTAGAATTATCATTCAAACCCCCCATATCTATTAGTTTTGTTTTAGTTGTTAGTTTAGTTAGTTTTTAGTTAATAAAAGTGACAAGTAAACTGATTTTCATAACCTAAAAAGTATCTTTCCTCGTGGGAACGATCCTTGCTTGCCCTATCTATATGTTTTGATGAATATTGAATCATAAAGGGGGTTAAAAGTTAAAGAAATAATAAATTAATTTGTAGGTGCTACGACACGCCTATCAGTGTTCCCGCCAAAACACTGTAGCACAGTCTTGGGTTACACAGTATTGGGCTTTTATCTGCAATTGTGTAAATACAACTTTCTGGATAACTTTTTCTAGCCCAAATACGGCCCACTCCATTTTAAGAAACCCTACTGTACATCACAGCTTCACTTTGTGGTTAGAAATTCATCAACTATCAATGGAAATATACATTAGATTTTTCCAATTCATTACATTCTTCCAATTCATTAGCTCTTGGGGAATGGTGCTTACTCAGAGACGTAAACAACAAGAAACGTCAGTGTGCTATTTCTAGATGACACGTGAGGTGAAAAATTAGAGGAATGCTGATATATCAGGATCGGAGTTAGGGCGGGCGAATTTTGGAATCATTGTAAATGCTCTAATGCTCCCTTCGTCCCATAATAGATGTCATTGTCACTATTAGGCCTCTCGATCTTCGTTTGCATTTTTCATGGATAATTTTAAATAATAAAATATTCTTATCACCTCTTTTTTTATAGAATTTTTAATGTATTCATGAATAGCGTAATGTATACTTCTTATTTTTTATACCAATCTATACTTAAAATAATTTAAAAATAATGATATTTTGTACGCTGCTCGGAGAGTGACATTTATTGTGAGACGAAGGGATAATTATAAAAAAGAGAGTGAATTTCCAAAACGATACTCAATATAACTATACGTTTTTCCAAATTAATTTCCAAGATAAAATAATTACTGAGATGGTACTCGCAAATTGAAAATATTACGCTGTTTAGTCGTCCCAACTAACGATTGTCAAAACAATGTCAAAATGGCATTAAAACTTATTTTAATTTTCCAAATTGATCATATAGAATTGAATGTTTTTTTTCAAATTAGTCTATTTTCGATGTAAAAACTCATTTAGTATGCCAAACTGAAACATGATTCTTCTCGCATTTTGACGTCCGGGTTAGTGGTAGTTAGCCTTGCTTCTTTGCATGACCTACGGGTTACATATTTATATGTAGGGGCCGGGGGTAACGAATACTCTCTCCCTCCCAGAAAAAATGAGAGTTTTGATTTTGGAGAGAGATTTAAGAAGAGTGTATTTTAGTATTAAATTTCGAAAAATGTCCTTTGATGTGATGTGTAAAAGTATGATTTGATAGATAGATTATTAGTAAAAAAGTATGATGTGATAAGTGGGGTATGAAAAACTAAGAAGTAAAAGTGACTTTTTAATAAAAATGAGAAGTGTTTTTGGGACGGATGAAAAAAGAAAGGAGAAATGTTTTCTAGGACGGAGGGAGTACGTTATATGGGAGTGTAAGAGTGTTACCATGTACTTCTTCTAAATTGTTTTTCATAGTTACTAACTTATATGATTAAATTTTAATTATTTTCTCTACTTATTTTCTTTAGATTAGTTTTAAACATAATCTAAATAAATACTCTCTTCGGTCCAAAAAAATGAGAGTTATTAATTTTTAAAAGATTTAAGGAAAATGTATTTTGATATTAAATTTTCAAAAAAAGTGTTTTGATGTGATGGGTAAGAATAGGATTTGATTGATAAATTATTAGTAAAAAAATATGATGTGATAGGTAGGGTATGAAAAAATAAGGAGTAAAAGTAACTTTTTAATCAAAACAGAAGTTTTTTTGGGACGAACGAAAAAAAAGGAAAAAGATTTTCAGAGACGGAAGGAGTATATGATATAACAATTTGATATATTAAAACCATGTACTCCGTATATACTAAGATTAACCCAATTATATTAAAATATTTTGAGGGGAGAAGGAGTAGAAAATTTGAAGAATTGCCTAATACTCCCTCCGTCCCACTTTAGATTACAATATTCCCTTTTAATTGAAATTAAGGAAGAGTCAAATCAAATTTTTTCTCCAAATTACCCCAAATCCCCCCAAATAGTGTGAATAGTGGCTGGCAAAAAAGAAAAGAGAAGGTAAAAAAGTCAAATCACTATAAAGTTATTGACTTTATAATCCTTTTTGGGACAAAAATGTGATGGAATATTGTAATTTATTTCGGGACGAAGGGAGTATAACCATACAAAAAAGAGGAGAAAGGAGAATTCAAAAAAAAAAAGAAAGGGCGATTAAGCCCACTTGGCCAAGAGAGACATCAAGCCAGCCCCTAAGAGAAGCGAGACATTAGCTCCAAACTGCAACTTCATATTGCGGCGCATCCTCGGGTCCATGAAATCGGCGGCCAGCAGATCGACGAGGGCCATATATATTAGGATTCCGGCGGACGCGGAGTTGAAAACGCCCTCCGTTATCAACGCCTTTTGGCTGTTCTCGTCGTACACATTTGATATTCCGATTCCGATGCCGATCCCCACCGGAGTCGTCAGGGAGAAAAATGCAATCATCACTGCAGTTGCCTTCGACTTCAACTCTGCCTGCAAAGTTCATGTCCGACACCACACTTAGCCTCTATTTTTTTTTTCTGTTGGAATTTGGGAATGTTAAAGAAACTAGAAAAAATTGGAAAAAGTTATAAGAATTTAAGTATCAATCAAATATTCACTCAAATAAATAAATATATAAAAACTCTAATTTTGGATGAAAAAAGAATTCGCCATTGTTTATGTTTGAACCTTGAAGTGGTATGTTATAAATTTGGATATATATCTTTATTGTATTTTCATCATATATAAGTACCTCTTCCGTCCTAAAACTATCTTACCAGTTATTATTCACACGGTCAAACTTAAATCACTTTCTTTACCTATTTTCGCTACTTATTTGATAAAATAATATAGTCTTGTCACCTCTCGTTTTGTAAAACTTTTAATATAGTTTTTAAATATGTAAATTTAATTTTTAATTTTTTTAACCTATAATCAAATAAATTGAATTGAAAATAAATTCGGTCAAAGCTCGTAAACACAACCGGGAAGATTGTTTTAGGACGGAGGGAGTACATTTTTAAGTGGTTATTGAAAGAAACTCGAAGAAGTTAGGAGAAATTAGAAAGACTTGGGAAAAACTAGAAAAAGTTAAAAGTTAATTTTTTTCAATTCAAAAGAAGATAGCTTTAGGACAAAAAGCAAAAGGAAAAAAATAAGTTGAGGAGAATATGAGTTTATAAAGGCCCCATTTGGTATCAGCGTCAGAGATTAGCGTTAGCGTTTTGAAAAAGCTATATGACGGTAGCCTTTAGCGTTAGCGTTTTCAGAATTAATCTACACCATTAAAATTTAATCTAAAATGCTAACGCAAATCGATAACGATGTTATCAAACAAAGACAAAGTAATTACTACTTATAATCAGTTTTGATCAGACAAAGGTTACTATTTAAGGAAATGAGAAGTTAATTTTAGGACAACCCAAAAAGGAAAGTGAGAAGTTAATTTTAAGACGGTGGGAGTAATTTATTTAAAGTCAAACCTTTTTATTGGCTGTAGAAAACTATAAAGAGTTATCCAATCAAAATCAAAATAGGTACTCCAAGGGTTGACTACGCCGAGCTGCTTTTATTGATTTTTCTTAAATACAAAAATGGTTTCATTATATTGATTTTGCGGAGAATTGTCAAATTTTATTTCATTGTACGTTCTAATTACTAATTAGCATGCAAATGAAGAATAACTCATGTTAAAAATTATTACTTCCTCTATCTCATAAAACCTTTCAAAATAGAAAAAAATGGGTCCTAAAAATAAGTAATTTTTATATTATATTTTAATCATGACTCATTTATCATACACATCATAATATCAAAATCACTTATTTAATTATTTTTAAGACGCACTTTTTTCGTAGTTGAAAAGTTTATAGGACGAAAGAAGTATAATTTGGTCTAGAAAAATCAAACTGAAGTGGTTAGAGTCTCTCCCACACCAAAAAGAGAGCAAAAAGAAGATCCTCTCCTCCTATCCTATTGCAAATTTGTTTTAGGATAGAACCCCTATGGACTTGTATGTTGAGCATATCGCGCAAATGCGCACGAACTAGCGTGTCTTCCCACGCTATAATTAGTCCACGGGACTTTTATCATGAATGAATATTTAAAAGAGAGGGAGTATTTAATAAGAGCCCGGTTCTATGGCCACGGGAATTCAGTGGCCACGGAAGTCACTGCCCCCCTACGGTGCTTTGTTCATGAAATTGATGATTCCTACCCCCTAATCTCTCCGGTAAACCCCCCTGCCAAGTCCCGACCCAAACTAATCACCCCACCTACGTCAATTACACCTCGTAAGTATAAAGTCAAAACTTTTGACTTTAAAGTCAATTATACTTACGGGGTGCAATTGACGTAGGTGGGGTGATTAGTTTGGGTCGAGACTTGGCGGAGGGGTTTACCAGGGGGGTAGGAATCAACAATTTCATGAACGGAGCACCGTAGGGTGCAGTGGCTTCCGTGGCCACTGGATTCCAATTGCCATAGAACCGGACTCATTAAATAATGCACATTTGCATACCTGGGCAATGCAGCCACCAAGTCCCATGCCCTCAAAAAACTGGTGAAAAGTCAATGCTGCCACCAAAGGCCTTATGGTTTTAGGACTTTGAGATGCACCCAATGCAACTCCGATTATCACTGAGTGAACTATTATTCCCACCTCTAAAACCTGCACTTGCGCACAAATGAAACCAATCAACTTCAATAATTTGGGGTCAAAATTGAAGATATGAACGAACTTCGGAGTAAGTTGAGTAATTTTTAAGGAGAAATTTACCTAAATAGAACTAAAACATAATGACTTTCCCAATATAGGATCATATGTTTTTATTTCCCAATGTAGGACTTTTGGTCATTATCATGTAGTCATTATTCAAGTAAATGTCCATCATTACTGGACATTATTCTTCCCACTAGGTCATTATTAAGTCCTATTTAGGGAAAAAAGGTTTAAATCCTACATTGGGAAAGACATTATGTTTTAGTCCTATTTAGTGCAAATTTTACATTTTTAAGTCTAGCCATGGATCAGAAGTGCTTGAATTGCTACTCTTCTCGCGAAACAAATATTAAAGGTCCGTTTGGTATATGTAATTGAAAGAATTGAAATTCTATTGAATTAAATTGGATTAAATTGAATTTTCCAATTCTTATTCATTTTTACACTATCAATTCTAAATTCATATAGTTTTGTACTACCAAACAACAAAAATTGAAATCTCTAATTTTAATTTCATTGCCTGAATTTTATGTCTCAAACTCTCAAAGAGAACCTAAGGCCTCGTTTGGTACATAGAATTCAAACTATGGAATTGGAATTGGAAACTCCAATTCCAATTCTAGTGTTTGGTAGCACAAAATTATGTAGATTTGGAATTGATAGTGCAAAGAATGAATTAGAATTTACAAAATTCAATTCTATGGGATTGAATCCCATGAAATTACAATTCCAATTCAATTCCAATTCCACCAATTCCTTATACCAAACAAACCCTAAATGTGATGTATTGAATACTTGCATAAAATTGGACTCTTTTTACACATAAGAAAAGGACTCCTCTTTACTCTGTAAATCAGTTTGTTGACTTGTTCAATCTAAAAGGATTCCTTTTTCATGCTACTACGGAGTATTTCTTTTCAAAGTCACAAAAATGTTAGATAAGTATGACCCATGAAATTTAGTTTGTTTTAGTCAAATTGAACTTTCACACACAAAAATAAAGCAAAATAAACTCCTTTTTGGAATCGTTTTTTACTCGTGTAATAGTACTTTCGTTTCTCAAAAGAATTCCTCTTTTATGGAAAATAAGGAAGTGTTAAATTGTAATTAACTTTCCAATTTTGCCCTTGATGTGATGGTAAAAGTAAGATGTGATAGTTTAGTTGTTAGTGAAAAAGTATGATGTGATAGGTATGGTATGAAAAAGTAGGGGTAAAAGTGGTTTTTTAATAGAAAGTGGAAGTGTTTTAAGAAAAACAAAAAAATAAAAGAGGAAGGGTTTTAAGAAACGGAGGGAGTATTATTTTAGTTTCAACACATAAATTGATAAATTTAACTTATTCTCCCAACAATAATATTTTCATTAATTTGACAATTCTTACGATATCCGTTTGTAAAATTAACTATTCGTTTCCCTCCTAACCGTCGACAAATCCTCATCACGCCCTGACCCAAACCCGTTTCATTCCCTCTAATTAATTACACCCTCCAAATTTATTTTGTTTTGAAGTTAAAATTTTGACTCCAAATCAAATAAACTTGGAGAGTTAATGTCTTAATGAGTAGGAACTATTTTACGAAATTTATGAACGGATCATCGTAAGTGTCGGGCAATGTCACATGAACCTGAGAGTGAAAAAAAACCTGAGATACGACACGGTGTCAAAGAAGATGATGGGAAGAGGAAGACTCGACATCTGAGACGACATGTTGGCCGCCATGAGCATGACCGTGAGTGGCGTGCGTGTGGACGTGGACCGTCACGGCTTCCTCGCCGGCGACCACCTTCCCGTCGCCGGAGCATCTCTTGGCGAAATAAGACGTGGCAAAGCAATCCACCATGAGAGTCCCCATGGCGGCAAGCATGGCGATGAACCCGCCGAACGGGAACTGACCCAGGGTTTCTCCCCGAGGCACGGGGAAGTCAAGTTCTCGAAGGCGTCCGGGAGGACGTGGATGAATCCGGTGGCCAAAATCACCCCGGCCGCGAACGCCTTCACGAAAAAGAAGAAGCTCGCGTCCGGACTCATGCACCGGACCCTCCTCCCGAGCACCGGGAGGGAAACGCCGAGGCCGCCGGCCACCAGGATGGAAGCTACGGCGGCAAGTTTGTACTTGAGCGCCTGCTTCTTGTCGTGGCCGGCGGCATCCTCGCCGGAGTCGTCTCCGCCGCCGCAGGTGGAATCTCCCAAAACAAAGCTGGGAATAACCGCCATTAACAACAAACATACAAAAATCACCTTTTGGGCACTCAAACTTTTTTGAGTCTTCATAGTGTAGGGGAGGGAGATTCTGTGTGGGGCCGGTGGCGGCGGAGATTAAGGATGTGAAATAGATCTAGAGAGAGAGAAAGGGGAGGGAGTATTTAAAGGTGGAGATTAGTTTGGGAAAATTAGTTAATTAACAATGATGATGATGATGACATTATATGTACTCCTTCTCTCCTATAAAGAATGCCACGTTTACTATTCTGACCTCTCGATAACTTTTGTTTGTTTACTCGTTTTGGTTGACCATTTGATAAAATAAAATATTCTTGTCGCATCTTGTTTTGTAGAGCTTTTCATATACTTTTAAATGATGTAATTTTTACTTTTTATTATTCTACCAATTTGAAATTAAAATGATTTTAAAATAGATGATATTTTGCACGTCGTTCAAAGTGTTGCAAATAAATTAGGACGGAGGAAGTATATAAGGCCTGTTTGGGATAGCGTTAAAGATTAGCGTTAGCGTTTTGGATAAAATTTCAACGGTGTAGATTACTTTGAAAACGCTAACGCTAAACGCTGCCCGTAGATAGCCTTTTCAAAACGCTAACGCTAATCGCTAACGTTATTCCCAAACAGGCCCATAATCTTTTAAGTTTGATTTGTTTGATAACTAAAGAAAATCCGAATGGGAATAGGAAAGAGAAGTCAACTCCATGGTTATGTCGACATGATGGTGGTGTTGATTGTTGAACGTACGTACCGTTGAATTTGCAACCCCGAATAATGCTCTTACACGCTCAAACATTAATTTTACGTATTTTCGTTAGTTATTTTATAAAATAATTTGATCTTGTTACTTCTTGTTTTTAAATATCTAATTTTATTTTTTTTAATTTTACAACTACAATCAAATAAATTATATTGAAAATAAAGTCGGTCAAACTTCATATACCAAAACAGGATGAAGATTTTAGGACGGAGGGGTAGTTAATATGGAGTAGATAAATTTCTTTATTTGTCATATATACTCCGTGATGGGTATATTACTATACATACCCAAGTGTACCCGTCAATACCGAGGTGATTAGTAAATTGTGGGGTCGGGTGACCAGTCACGGGTTTGGTTTTCCGGACTCAGCTAGGCGGCTATTTGGGGACGACGTTGGGTGACCGGTCACGGTTTTGGTCTTCAAAGATGGACATTAAAAACTATTTTGGGGACGATGTTGGGTGACCGGTCACCCCAGAGTTAGGTGACCGGTCACCCCAAAGTTAGGTGACCGGTCACGGTTTCGGTCTTCAAAGGTGAACCTTGGAAGCTATTTTGGAGAGTCTGGATGACCGGTCATCCCCCGAGTTGGGTGACCGGTCACTATCTTGGACTTCATGTAAACTTTGAGGAATGAAGTTTTGGGCTCCATATAATTTGACCGTTATCACTTTTGGGCTGCAACTTGGAGGTCACAGTCGAACGGATCTGCTGCCCCCAAACCCTAGTATCTAGGAGATCAGCGGAGGGACCCACTCCCATCACTCAAAAGATCAATGTGAGAAAGTCTTTTGGCACCATCGTAGATTTATATTCAATCAATATATTCTGATTGTATGTTGATGGATGTTGTATGGTTGTTTGTCTTTAAGTGAGCAGCTTCCATGCACCTATTGAGCCTCCTCTACTCTATAAATAATTTGTGATAGAGAGAGAGAAGAGGACATTCACTTCTACTCCTACAATACCCATTACACTCTAGAGAAAGAGTAAGAAATATATTCAGACTCGAGAGATTTACTCCGGTCTAAGTGATTCTTTGTTGTGCTTGCTACTCTTGCGCTTATCTTTATTTACCCGGTTAGGTCTCCGTAATCCGACCCAATTAACTACTTTTCGTACCTGGTGGAATTTACACCATCATTTGGTAATTGTTAAGTACCTATATCTACTTCCATTTTCTTATAGTTCATAATTCATATGGAGAACTACTTAGATATGAGTAAAATAACTATGAAAATACTAAAATATAAGTCATAAAACTTTTAAGACTAAAATAATAGTTGTCATTGTTACACTGTCATACTGACCACATTGTCATATTATAACTCTCACGTAGTCATCTTTCATCCCCGGCCACTAGAGTCCCGTCGTGGATCATAGATGGTTGACTGATCACTAGGGGTGAGCAATTACCGAACCGATCTCGAAATTTCCCGAAAAAATCGAGAATACTGAACCAAAAAATACCGAAAAGAAACCTAACCGTACTGAACAGAATGGTCAGTGCGGTATTTAGGAACGGTACGAGGTGATGTCCTATACCGAAAATCCCGAAGCGAACATATATACTAAAATATTATAAAAATGATGCACCGGAGTAATATTTTTATATTCCTTCACTAAATAATAATTGTTTTTTTAAAAAAAATTGGTTCAAGTTCTATTATGTGAAAATTATACGGAGTACTTTTATTTGAGTTTTAGTTTTTGTATAAGAACATAAAAGTATTCACAAAGATTCGAAATACTTCTTTGTTATCGTTCATTTTTTTAGCTTGTGAAATATAATTTTTAAATTTTTTATGTTTTTTTTATTAAAATTAACCTTTAATTTTCAAAAATAAAGGGGCATTGTTAAATTTTAAGGTGTAAAGTAGGTATGTATATTTATCACGATTTGTACCGAAACCGATACCGAACCATCCAGAACCATACCGAACTAATATTTCGGGATCGAGATCGGTACATAATAAATTCTCATACCGAACTAAAATATTTGGTACGGTATCAGTACGAGCTAGATACCGTACCATACCGTACCGTGCTCACCCCTACTGATCAGACTTTAATATTACACTGTTATCAGTTTTTCATTACACTGAAAATGCATACTCTTATACCACACTGTCCTTGTACTCTTACTTTGGTTTTAAAAGACTTGGGATTCTTATTTTGGTATTCCCATATATACTTTTTTAGTCCTATACATGGAGATTTCTTTTATTGATATACTAACATTTATTTAGTTTTAACTTTTTCAGTCAAAATTTAAAAAAAATGACCGCTAATTAAAAAAAATATATTTGATATTGATACAAAATTAATTTTATTTGATTTATTTTGTAAAATATTTTCAAAATATTATTTGATGTAATTAATATTATCTCTATCATAAATTTTGACCTTTTCAAGTCAAACCTCACAAACTTTGGACCCCAATTACACAAATATTTTAATGTACTAGTATTTTAACCCGTGCAACGCACGGGGTTGGACGAAATTTTTTACACTTCTGTAAATTAACTTCAATGCAATATTTTAAATTGTATTTATAAAAAAATATAATATGTTTTTTATTACTAAGACATTAAAAAAAAAAATAAATAATTTAGTATTAAATATTTGGTAATGAAAATTCTTATATACAAATTCAAAAGTGAGCATCTCAAAGATTTTCTAAATCTATATTTTTGAAAGAGTTTTGGGTATACAACAATTTTGATGTAGTTGCAAGGATTTTCGTTATCATCTAGAACTAATATTTTTAATTCTGTTTTTCTTTTTACTCATGAAACATCAACGCAAAGTTGATCATGAGTGAACACCGAATTGATTAAAAATAATCCAACAAATGATAATGTTTGACTTTGACTTTGTTAAAAGTCATAGCAAAACATAAAACATTGAGAATTGTTTTTTCTAGAACTTTAAGAGTAATTGTGGATCAGATGGTACGAAATTCATTCTAGGTATGTAAACATTTTTCTCGACTTGTTTTTTCAAAACCACAATTGCACTGATAACATTATTTCGTAGCTCTTCAACGATTAGTCTTGTCTCATCACACAATTCAGATATTTGGTCAATGTTTCTCAATAACATATATAATTGGTAGCCCTTTTTTCAAAACTATTTTATGGCTTGAGATTCTCGAATATTTGATTTTATTTAAAACTCAATTGTTATTCAATCGACATCAACACCTACATCTCCATTTCCTTCGCATGAAGAATCAGAATTCAAGTACTTCTTTTCATCATTGGGAATGAGAGATATGACAAATTTATTTATTATTTCAACTATTTCGAGAGTTGGGCTAATAGTGTCCAGTCCTTAAAAAAGAATAATTGTTCATATTCTCTCATATGTTTGGATAAGTGAAGTCAACGTATTATACTCTTGATATGATAACTTTTTTCAAAAATAAAAATTTTGGGGGGATCTCAACATCAATAACTCCATCAATCACCTAACATAGCTTTTCATCTTTGAATTTAATTTTCCAATAAAAAACAGCACGTGTGTCCCTATCTACGCAAGAGAAAGTAGATGAATGTAGTTGCATGTTTTTGGTCAACATAAAAACTTTACAAATTGACCATAATATTAAAGATTTGACTGTAATGATCGATACCGTAAATGCATTTTAACTTCTATTTCAGGAATAAAAATGGAACTTCTATTTTGTTATATTTTCATTTTTTTTTACTCCAATTTAGCCTTTTTCCCTATCTTCCATGGGTTTTCATTCATTATAGACTAATATCAGCTAAAATCAGATAATAACTTTTCTTTGTCATAGTTCAACTCCTCTACCAAGAAATTATTTCCAAATTTGTTAAGTGGATTGTCATCTTGGAATGACATACCACTAAACTCCTTCAAAGGTCGTCCATTTGAATTATGTATCTTTCAATTTTAATCAATCACAAATTCTTTACATCTTCTAGGGAAATAAGTTCTGCAAAAAAATAGTTAAAATATGACTAAATTTATTATACTCATATCTCAATTCTAGAGTTTTGTGTATGCACCGACCATGCACTTCATATTGATATTTATTAAAAAATAAAATTATCTTTTTATAAAAACATATTGATAATGCAATATTCTTCTTCGGTCAAATAAACCTCGTCAACTAAGTGTTTTCATGATTTTTCCCAAACAACTTGAGAGTGACTCATGGTATTTGTCAATAATAATGTGACAACGAATTTTTTTAGCTCACTCTCGGATCCTAGCTCTACAACATCTT